TAAAAACAAAATTTCATGCAACGTCTTGGATCTCGTAAAAATCAGGATGCCATATGCACTCCTTAGGAAATTTGCATATATAACATACCGAATAGATGTCACTCCCACTAAAGGCCTGAAAAAGAGATTTCCCCCAATCTTGCACCTGGCAGCTGGGTTGGGATTACAACCCCCATCGTCCTCATTCCACACAGCTTGTAAAAGTCACCCGATGGTAGGGAGGGAGAGAAGAGGAAAAGAAAAAGGAAAAATAGCTGTGGATCGCCAGATAGGCTGGTTCATATAAAAAGGATGTTTCCCTTCAAAAGATGGAGGCTAGAGAGCCTAATGCAGGAAGGGACAGTTGTGACATCAGTAACTTCTGCAGTTTTGGTTTCTGAAAAGCAGAGGTGAAAATAGAAACATGGATCCCAAAGGTGCTTTTTTTCAAGAGGCAACTAGACTTTCTGGTTTTTCTTTGAAGACGTTTTGCTTCTCATCCAAGAAGTTTCTTCAACTCTCTCAGAGAAAGCTCTTCAAAGAAAATCCAGAGTGTCCAGTTGCCGCTGGAAAAGCACCTTTGGGGACAACCATGGCTGAGAAACCCCATAGACAGAAACTTGGGGTTGTCCACGTGCCACCCCTAAATACTTTCATTGCCACACAATTTCCCACGTTTCTGACAAAATGTAGTCACCTCACCACCGAATTCCAGGGATTTTAAAGAATGGAAATAGGAACAGTTAACTTCCTAGAAGATTACAAGTTCATCCGTACCCATATAACCTCCACACCCCCTCCCCCAATAGGCCAAAATTAAGCAAAAATTAATTAAAATTAATTAATTAAAAATAGAGGGAAAGGCAAGTTAGTCTAATGGTTAAGACACCAGTTCAGGGACGCGGTGGCTCAGAGGCTAAGACGCTGAGCTTGTCGATCAGAAAGGTTGGCAGTTTTGGCGATTCGAATCCCTAGTGCCGCATAACGCATAAGCAGTTCGAAAAGCATGTAAAAATGCAAGTAGAAAAATAGGGAACCACCTTTGGTGGGAAGGTAACACTGTTCCATGCGCCATCGGCGTTTAGTCATGCCGGCCACATGGCCATGGAGAACGTCTTCAGGAAGCACTGGCTCTTCGCCTTTGAAGCGGAGATGAGCACCGTCTCCTAGAGTCGGGAACAACTAGCACATGTGTGCAAGGGGAACCTTTACCTTTAAGACACCAGGCTACAAAACAAGAGACCCCGAGTTCTAGCCCCACCTTAGCCATGAAAGCCAGCTGGGTAACATTGGAGCCAGTCAGTGTCCCTCAGCCCAATCCACCTCACATGATTGTTGTGACGGGGAAAACAGGAGGAGGAAAGAGTATTGTGTGTGTTATTTGTAAAAATAATAAAGGTAGGGTACAAAACAAACGAACAAAATGATTGTAACCTTCTAGTGACATCACTACCTTTCTTCCTGTCCATCCTCCAGGATGTCCCGGGTGGGAGTTATGCCCCAATCTTTGGGAAATTGCCAACCCTGGTAGAACTATAGATTTCCTCACCTCACCTAAGACTGGCCAGGACTATCTTAGCTCTTCCAATAACTATTTAATGAAGCTCTCTTACTTACCTGCTTCTCTCTGTTCCCACTCAAAGACTCCCAAGCCATATGGCTCTGCTTCACTCATGTGTTCAGGTTTAAAAAGCAAATGAAGTCGCTCTGAGATTTAAAGAGAAGGGAATTTCTCTGCTGCCTTCCAGGATGTCTTTGGGGTTGGATCTTGATTTTTTTTTTTTTTAGCTCAACCTCATTTGTGCTGGCTGAGCTTGAACTCAATATATCCTGTTTCCCGGAAAAATAACACCTCATCAGATAATAAGCCCAACCAGGCTTTTGAGCGCAAGCACTAAAATAAGCCTTCCCCTAAAATATTTAATCACATGCACAGCCGGTCCCCACCATTTCTTGGGGGGCAAGGGGAGGAAACATCCCCACATATTCCTGCCATCCACGCAGAAGGCGCCCTCAAACTCTAGCTACCAGGCCTCGTAGTGGTGGATAAGTGCCAGTATCTATTGACAGATTTCTAACCTGTGAACTGTTGGTTTTTCGTCCAATTTTTGGCTTGCGTACTCTGACTCTGAAGCAGGAAGCTGAAATTTAGGTGAGAAAATTGAGGTTCAATTTTTTAAAACATGTCTTTCTGAAGTCATTTGCAAATATTCACAATTTTAGATGTTTGGCGCTGGTCTTCTCGTCTCTTGCAGTTATAAGGGAGGGATTTTTTTCTTATCCTTAGTGGATCAGTGTGCCATTTGCTCAAAATCTCACCGTTGTGTGTAATTGCTTGCAAATTTTAGAAGGTCCTGTATTTTTTTAAAACATATTTTCCTTGTTCTGATCTTGTCTGTCCTCCAGGAAAGGTTTTCCCATCTTTTTTTCTTTGTTGCAATCTAAAGAAAAGCTTGCATGACGAGCTCATGAATTGTTCTGACCGAGGCTTCCCAAGAGCATGAAGCAACTCCTGGTCCCGACAAAAAGCCCTTTTATTAATTTACTGTGAATTCTGCTCATTCACATCCAGCAAAGTCTTTCAAGGGAGGATTTACAGTCACAGACCTTATCTGGCTTGGAGATCTAACATCTGCAAATCTGACAAAGAATCTCAGACAGTCACAAACCAGTTAAATCTCCTGCAAATACCACTCTCCTTTCACTCCTCTTTTGCTTCCTCTGGGAGGGGCCATTCATCATCCACCTGTGGCCTTATTCCCAAGTCGACCCCTATTCTTTAGCTGTTTCCTTGGTCTGGCAACTCTGCGCATTCTCACACTGGGAACAGGCTCCAGCTGTTCCTCTGCCTCACTGATGTCTGACTCTGAAGGCAGCTGATAACTGGCATATGGCTCTGGTGTTCTCTCAGCCTCCGACACAGGGCCCTCATCAGAGCCTTTCCCAGACTCCAGAACTCGCCCATGTTCCTCTCCAACCTCCTCACTGTCCGAATCTGCTGCCAGCTCTGTTGGCCACTAGCGGGCCACAACATGAATAGTATAAGGCAGGGGCTCCCTGGTCCGAGGACCAGTATCAGTCCATGGCATGCCAGAAACTGGGCCACGCAAACAAGTAAAGCCCCATTCGCGGGATGCAGGCAACATGCAAACCACACTCCCTCCGGTCCATGGAAAAACCTCTCCATGGAACCAATCCCTGGCGCCTAAAAAAATTGGAGGGCGCTAGTCTGAGGTAAATCTTGCAGTTCAGGGGGATTTGAACTGAGGTCAGTGCTTGGTCCAGAAGATGAGCAAGATTTGACTATATTTTTCTGGTTGAGGTCCATATGGCAATAGTGGTAGGCGTAATTAGACAAAAATGAAAATATCCCATGGTCACAGCAATGGTGAGTTCCGGATCCCGTTGCAAACGGTACATTGCAATGAGGCCGGGCGTCCACCACATGAATGCGCTTAGCACGCGCCCACATGCGTGCAGCACACATATGCGTACTTAGTGCCTGCGACGCTCTGTGACGCCTCTGCGACGCTCCAGCTGCTCGGCGGAGCATTGCACAGGCACCATATGCTCCGTGCATGTAAGCCTCAAACAGCTCAAATACAGGTAAGGAGCGTGGGCGGGCGGGCCCTCCGGAGCACTGTACTGGAATGGTATCTGATGCTCCCAGCAGGCACTGGTACACCCGTACTGGGGTGTACCAGTCGTATCCCACCACTGGGGCACAGGCTAATATAGTTGCTGTTTCTCCACTACAGGTAGTCCTTGACTTAAAACATTGTTAAGCTCGCAGTGAGGGTGGCAAGGCCTGCTGGTTGTTAAGCAGCACGTCAAGTGACCAAAACCAATTTTACAACCTTTTTTTTCAGTGACTGTTAAGCGAACGCAGCTATTGTTAAATGAATATGGCGGTTGTAAAACGAACCTATTGTTCGTGATGGGTGTTTTTTCCAGAAACCAAAAATAAATACTGTTTTCTGACAAAAACATAAAACACAGCCATGTGACAATTTGTGCCAGGCACCCCAAATGTGGTCATGTGACTGCCAAAGTGCAGCTGTTGTAACTTCAAAGCTGGCCATAAGTACCTTTTTTGAGGTTTGTGGTAACTTTGCTATGCAACCCGCCATAAATTGAGGATTACCTGTACAGGCAGTCCTCGGCTTCCAACAATTTAGTGACCAATTTAAGTGGCAATGGCACTGGAAAAAGAGACGTGGCCGTTTTTCATATTTACGACCATTGCAGCATCCTCATGGTCATGTGATCAAAATTCACACCCTTGTCAACTGACTCAGATTTATGACCCAGGGTTGTGGGATCCCTTTTGTGACCTTCTGACAAGCAAAATCAATGGGGAAGCCAGGTTCACTTAACAATTCAGTGATTCACTTAACAACAGTGACAGAAAAGCTGTAAGATGGGGCAAAATTCACGTAACACATCTCAATAACAGAAATTTTGGACTCAGTTGTGGTTGTAAGACTACCTTTACAATTTCCCTCTTTTATGGTATTATCTGGTTATTTTGTCACTGGAGGAAAGGAACGGCATTCACTTACAAACATTCAAGGTCTCTGGAAAGACTACATAAATTAATTGGGGAGGCTATATCCCACCACCCACTGTAAAGCACATAAAGCAGTGGTGGGTTCCGGATCCTGTTTCAACCGGTACAGTGCAACAGGGCCCGATATCCACCACATGAATGCGCGCACTTGCGTCCTTACTTCCTGCGATGCCTCCGCGATGCTCCAGCTGCTTGGCGGAGCATTGTGCAGGTGCCATACTCTCCGTGCACATGTGCTGAAGTGCCGAAGAGCTCAAATAAGGAGGGCAGGCGGGCCCTCCGGAGCACCATACCGGAACGGTACTCTGTACTCCCGGCAGGCACCGGTACACCCGTACTGGGACGTACCTCCTGCAACCCACCACTGATATAAATGGACAATTTGTAAAGGTAAATGACCATTGTTGTGTATTTCAGGCAGCACCCTCTGGAAAGATGGCTGAAGCAGAAGGAGGAGAGGTTGACGTGGAAGTGAAGCAAGAGGAGGAGGATGAAGATGAAGAGCCCGGCTACATCCAGTCTGGGCGGCGGTACAGGTGCCTGACCTGTAGCAAAACTTTCCCTAGCGTGCCACGGGTGTTGCGTCATTTAAAGTCCCACGCGGCTGGTACTGTGGATGGCATAGCTACCAAACTTGCTTGTCCTAATTGTAGGAAGGAGTTTCCTGACCGGGCTCAACTTCGCAAGCACCAGCTCAGCCACCAAACAGAGCGCCCATACCAATGCCAGCTTTGTGCCAAGGCTTACAAAACTGCCCCCGAGCTGCGGAATCACGGGCGTAGCCACAGTGGCGAAAAACCCTTTGTTTGCCACGAGTGCGGCAAAGCGTTCATGCAGCCTGTTTGTCTGCGAGTCCACATGGCCCGGCACACTGGAGACCTGCCCTTCCGCTGCCAGCAATGCCATAAGGGCTACGGCACTCTTTCCAAGCTGAAGATCCACCAGCGTTCTCATACGGGCGAGAAGCCATACTCCTGCGGTGAATGCAGCAAGCGCTTCGCTGATCCCTCGGTGTTCCGGAAGCACCGCCGGACGCATGCTGGCCTCCGCCCCTACCAATGTGAGGTTTGCCGCAAGACATACGCTGAGTTGAAGGATCTCAAGAACCACGAGCGCTCTCATACCGGCGAACGCCCCTTCTTGTGCCAGGATTGTGGGAAGGCCTTTTCCCGGTCCTCATCGCTAGCTTGTCACCAGCGCATCCATGCAGCCCACAAGCCCTACCGTTGCAACCTCTGTGGGAAAGGCTTCACCCAGCTGTCCTCCTTCCAGAGCCACCAGCGCACTCACTCTGGCGAGAAGCCCTTTCTTTGCCCGCAGTGCGGCCGCATGTTCAGTGATCCCTCCAGTTTTCGCAGGCATCAGAGAGCCCACCAGGGCCTCAAGCCCTATGCCTGTGACAAATGTGGGAAAGCTTTCCGCCAACCAGCCGACCTGGCCATGCACCAGCGCATCCACACGGGTGAGAGGCCCCACAAGTGCTCGCAGTGCGACAAGAGCTTCGTGGCTTCATGGGACCTCAAGCGCCACCTGCTGGTGCACTCCGGCCAGCGCCCTCACCAGTGTGGCGAGTGCGGCAAGAGCTTTGCTGAGCGGGCCAGCCTCACCAAACACTACCGTGTTCACTCAGGCGAGCGGCCGTTTAAGTGCGGCCGCTGCGGCAAAGCCTTTGTGGTGTCGTCCAGCCTCCGGAAGCATGAACGCACCCACGGCAACGAGAACAGCGAGGACAAGGTCGCCCCCACGGGCAACCAGGACCCGTTCCTCAATGATCCATCGGCCATTGTGGTTGCCACCGTGGTGCCCGCCTGTGGAGAGTGTGGGGAGGTCTTTGCCTCCACCCAGGAACTACGGCGCCATGAACGCCTGCTGCATCCTGGCCTGCGCCCGTTTCCGTGTCCAGAATGTGGCAAAGGCTTCTCGGACCGGGCCGGTCTGCGTAAACACGAGCGGATCCACTCGGGAGTCCGCCCCCATGCCTGTCCCCACTGTTCTAAAGCTTTCCTAGGTGCCTCAGACCTGCGCAAGCACCTCAAGACCCATGTGTCCCTAGAGAACAGGAGCAGCGAGGACACCATGGTGACTGCCACCATCATGACCTACGAATCCCTCCTCCCTGCTCAGCTCCATCCCCATGACGATGGGACAGAGACTGACAAGGACACTCCTTCGGACTGCTTGCCTGACCCCCTCACGGAACCCTCGTAAGCTCCGCCTTCCTTCCCACCTTTGCCCTGCCTGCGATTGGGCAAAAAGAAGCCAGCTCAGTTGCTATAAAGCTCTCTGCGTACTTTGATGATTGCCCAGCCTTGCCTCGTGGATGTGATATGTGGACCGCGCTCTTTCAGCGCCCTCCCATCCAGCATGCCTCTCCAGCATTTCTTTCCAAGTAGGGCTTGATGTGCTTCATCACTGGCTGTGTGTGGCTGCCTTTCCTCCCACCCTCCATTGTTGCCCACACCAGATGTTCACTTGCCTGACCGGGAAATTAAATGTGCCTGGTGTGTCTGTGTTTGTTTGTTTGTGTGAGCGAGAGAGAAACCAGACACTTTGGTCAGCAAAAGGAGCCTGACATCTTGTGAGACTACATGTCTGTGCGTGAGGAGTTGCATTTTTTTTTATTGTTTGCGGGGTGATGTGCATTCATCTTATGAGGTGTTTCTGCAACCCTTGTGAACTGGTGTTTTTCTAGAAAAAGAAAATAACCTCCAGGACATTTTTTAAGGGCAAGAACAATTAAATTTAGAAAATTAAGGGAGGAAGCAAAGTACCATTATTCTTTTCTTCCTGGAGAGTTTTTTAACTTATCCGGGGGTTTCCTTGCTTGTAAGAAAAGATTAAAATAAATGGCTTGCTTTTTTTTTTTTTAAGGGGAAAATTGACTTGGATTGCATGTGGGAGGTGCAAATTTTTTTAGTGGGGGGGTGGGTGGCACAACCCTTATATTATCCTTATCTCACCTATAGGAATTTATCTTGCCTATTGAATTTCATTTCAAGTTTTATTTTATTCCTGTATTTATTATATCTATTTACCATTGCTATCAAAAGCCTCTCAGCAATAAAGGCTCTTTGACTGCTAAGGAGAGGGTTTGAAAATCTTCCTGTTTTCCTTTCTTCTCCCACTATACTTCCAAGAAAAAAAATACCCTCACAGTCTTTGTCTGTCTACCAACTATTTATGTTCCTGAAGCCTCTGAACTCTGATTGGCTGGCCTGCTGTGATGTCACTGAAGGTTCACTTGCTCAAAGAGCAAAGCAGCCCACTCACATCTTTTCTGAGTGTAGCAGAGGTGATATTCTGCCAGTTCTGACCAGTTCTAGCGAACCAGTAGCAGAAATTTTGAGAAATTCAAAGAATGGGTAAAAACCACCTCTGGTTAGCTCCGCCCCCATCTATTCACTGCCTCCCAAGTCCCAGCCGATCAGGGTCCCAGCTGATGGGGTGGGTCTTCTTGTGCCCTGCACAGGAGAATGAAGCTGGAAAGCAGGGATGGGGAGGGAATGGGGATTTTGCAGTATCCTTTCCCTGCTATGCCCACCAAGCCATGCCATGCCTAAAGCAGTGTTTCCCAACCTTGGCAACTTGAAGATGTCCGGACTTCAACTCCCAGAATTCCCCAGCCAGCATTCGCTGGCTGGGGAATTCTGGGAGTTGAAGTCCGGCATCTTCAAGTTGCCAAGGTTGGGAAACACTGGCCTAAAGAACCGGTAGTAAAAAAAAAAAATGAATCCCACCATATATTTATTAGTGGGAATAGGGTTTAAACCACCTGTAGAAATCTCAGGAAGATATTCTGAGAGGCTTACTGTCCTTTAAGTATGGTGGAATGAAGAGGACCAGAAGAAGGGGGCAATGTGTAGGCCAGATGTTAGGAATTGATGACTTTCCAGGTTGTGGTTGAACCATAGCTTCCATCACCAGCAACCATGCTAATTGTGGCTGAGAAAAAGCCAGAAAGAGAAAATGAAAAAAACCAAATCAAGAAAATACGAATTCTCTTGTTGGCCCAGAAGGCATCCTCCAAAGAGTGTCTTCTCAAAAACAGGTTCTTCAGAGATATCTTTAATTTCAACTCTGATCAGAAGAGTTGTTTCATTTCATTTCATTTATTTGGGATTTATAGGCCGCCCTTTTCCCTGAGGGGACTCAGGGCGGCTTACATTCATAGGAAAAGGGGGGTGCAATACAGAGACATAAACAATATGTGAATAAAATAAACAGTAAAAACACAACTTTCATTCAACACTCAACACTCGGGTGGGGCGAATTAGAAACTTATCCCCAGGCCTGACGGGATAGCCAGGTCTTAAGGGCTGTGCGGAAGGTCTGGACGGTGGTGAGGGTGCGAATCTCGACGGGGAGGTCGTTCCACAGGGTCGGAGCTGCTACTGAAAAGGGTCTCCTCTGCGTAGTCGCCAGTCGGCATTGGCTGGCGGATGGGATTCGGAGGAGGCCCAATCTGTGCGATCTAATTGGTCGGAGGGAGGTAATCGGCAGGAGGCGGTCTCTCAAGTTGGAGTTGTTGGAGGATATATGTTCAAATGTGGGGATGATGGGATTAGGTAGTCTAGTTTAAAATGTGAGAATCGGCAGCTGATTGGCAGAAGGAGGAACCAAGGGGAAAGTTAGATGGGCAAAAGGTAAGGAAACAAAACCAGAATGGATGACCACTCATGGGAGTACCTAGGCAAATGAGGAAGTGTCTGCAAGCAAATAACCAAGCTCGCCACCAAGGTGACCACAGTTCAGCCTTGAGCTACAGATATTTCTCTTGTTGACGTACAGGCAGGAAGGGATGGGTGGGTATCTTAGACTGAGTTCCAGTAACTGACTGGGATATCCTGTTTCGGGGTCAACTTGTCATGGCAACATCATGACCTGGCAGTCCTCCAGGGAATGGCTGAAGGAAGATGGGGTACACACTCAGACATTTCTGTGGCAGAGGGGGATCCCTTACTCCTGGCCCAGTCTTCAGCAACTTGGAATAAACATCTACAGTCTTGCAATTTAAAGGACAACTTGTTGAATTGGCATCTTCAAAGGTGATTTTCAGTTGGATGGACTTCAACTCCCAGAATTCTCAGCAATGGTCTTTCTGTCTGGAGATTTCTGGGTATTGAAGTTCACAAATCCAGAGGGTAGGACACCCTATTAGGGAAGGCTAAGCTTATCTGCTTCCATTTTTTCTTAAAAGCCCCAGAAGCAAGTTATCACAGCTGTACATTTGCCACATAAGGAATGATAGGAAAACTAACCAAGAGGGAAGCTGGTTTTTTTTTTTTTTGTGGATGTTGGCATTAAGAGTTGTTCCAGCTTATTAGGTTTTTATTCCTCTTATGTTCAGACTACATTAACCAGGAGTGTCCACCTTTGGCAAGCTTTAAGACTTATGGACTTCAACTCCCAGAATTCCTTAGCCAGCATATTTAGGGGCCTAGAGGCTAAATTGCAGAAATTGAGTACAAAGAAGGACTATGATGATATGACAGCAATGTTCCAATAGGGGCTGCCACAAAGAAGAAGGGGTCAACTTATTTTCCAAAGGACCAGAAGGCAAGACAAAAAACAACAGATGGAAACTAGCAAAGGAGAGAAGTAACCTAGAACTAAGGATGGTTTTTCTTTGAAGATGTTTTGCTTCCCATCCAAGAAGCTTGTCCAGCTGTGAGAAGTTAAACATTTTCAAAGCAAAAACAGGAAGTCCAGCTGCCTCTTGAAAAAGCACATTTGGGATAACCATGACCTGGATTAATGAGAATCTCTGTAGACATCTAGAACTGAGGAGGAACTTCCTTTACAGTGAGAACAATTAACCAGTGTTTGCCTCCAAAGGTTGTGGGTACTCCATCACAGGAGGCTTTTAAGCCACCTGTCTGGAATAGTGTAGGTAGGGGGCTGGACTAGAGGACCTCCAAGGTACCTTCCCACTCTTGTTATTCTATTAAGTCTTACAGACCACAAGGTTGGACACCCCTGCTAGAAACCCTGACACCTTCTCCCTCAATGGTTTCTTTAATGTCACCTCTGTCTCTACGGTAATCTAGGGTAATCTAAATAAGGATGTGAGAATCAACCCCACAGTTACCCATCCTGAAACTTGGAAGCCACTGATGTCAAAAGAATAAACCACTGAAAAGTTGCACACATGACTTTGCAGAAAAGGTTGGTCAATAACTCACAATTTGATTCCATTACACATGGCCCTCTAACCATGACCACATCCCACACTTAAATTGGCCACTATCCAGATGTCACATGCACAAGCCTTGGATCCAAAGCAGATATGAGTTGATCCCAGTTCGGCCCAGTTTGGCTGAACCGGTAGTGGTATTTTTGTCTGGGTCACAGAACCAGCAGTGACCCAGGCTTGCCACCACCACCCGAACCGGTTCCCTCACCGCTGCCAATGTTGTCGCCATGTTGTTTTGTACTGACCACGCGTGCGCAGTTCGCAGTGTAAATTGTTCTGCACATGCGCGAAGAACAATTCACATTGAACTGTGCACGTGCAAAACGCACGCAAAGTGAACTGGTAGTAAAACCAGCAACAACCTGCCTGATTCAAAGTCTGCTCCTGGAAACACAAATGATGAGGATGCCAGGATTGGATAAGCTAGAAAGCATCTAAATTGGATTAAGGATGCCGTGTGTAAAATGGGCCAGGGCAGGTTAGGTAAAAGGAAGGCACGGGAATGGCCCTTCGTGAAGTTTTTAATCCTAAAATGTGCAAACAACCGAAGTGTCATCATGAGTGACTCTAGAGCAGGGGTGTCCAAACTTGGGAGCTTTTAAGACTTGTGGACTTCAACTCCCAGAATTCCCCAGTTGAAGTCCATAAGTCCTAAAGTTCCCAAGTTTGGACACCCCTGCTCTAGAGCAGTGTTTCTCAACCTTGTCAACTTGAAGGTGTCTGGACTTCAACTCCCAGAATTCCCCAGCCAGCGAATGCTGGCTGGGGAATTCTGGGAGTTGAAGTCCAGACACCTTCTAGTTGACAAGGTTGAGAAACACTGCTCTAGAGAATGCTTGTGGGAGTCAGTTTGGTGTATAAAGTAGTAACTGTCTTATAGCCACAACTGAGCCCAAAATTTCTGTTACTAAATGAGACAGTAGTTAAGTGAGTTTTGCCCCATTTTACCATCTTTCTTGTTAAGGGAGTCATTGCAGTTGTTCAGTTAGCAAAGTGTGTGTTAGCAAAGTATTTGTTAAGGGAACCTGGCTTCCCCACTGACTCTGCTTGTCGTATACCTTGGCCCAAAGATCGGTGCACTTCTATCTGGGATGGTCGTCCTCTTCCACCGAGCATGCAGCTTCGGGAGGGATGCACATGGAGCAGTGAGGGAGGAAGGGGACACCCACCTAGCCAGCCAGATTAGCCGATCAACCCTGGAGATCAATGGGGTGGCAGATGTCACAGCCACTGTGCTTGTCCGGAGGTCACAAAAAGTTATCATTTTCCTCAGCTGACGGAGGAAATCTGGGAGTTGAAGTCGACACAGCTTAAAATTGCTGAGCTGGAGTAACACAGTCCTTAAGAGCATGCTGGAGAGTACCACAGATTGGACTTTGATCAGTTGCCTAAAACACAACAATTCCTCATTGATAGCAGATCATGAGGAGGGTATCTTTGGGAAGGTATACATCTTTAAGGAATATGAAGGTTCTCCTATTAGGGGACTGGAGACTAAAACATATGAAGAACGGTTGCAGGAACTGGGCATGGCCACTCTAGGAGGGGGTCAAGCTATTTTCCAAGGCACTTGAAGGCCAGACAAGAAATAATGAATGGAAACTGACCTAGGAGAGATTCTATTTAGAAATAAGGAGGAACTTTCTGATAGTGAGAACAATCAACCAATGAAACAGAAGGCAACTTGTGGGGGCTTCATCAATTAAGACACAAGAAGAGTTTGGACTGTCATTTATCAGAAATGGTGCATTGTCTCCTGCTTCAGTATGGGGTTGGACTAGATAACCTACAAGGTCTCTTCCAACTCTGTTAACCTGTTGTGTCTTTAAACCTTTCCTGATAAGGGAATAGTACAGAGGACAAAAATGGGGAAAAAATGAATTCTCTGC